GAGGGCTGCTGGGAGCAGGAGGTGGGGCTTGTTGCATGTGCCCGCCCCCTGGGCTCCTTACTGCCAGAGCTCCGCTCCTGTGCGCTCCCGCAGGAAATGACCCTTGGTAGTTATAGCTGCTGGTGAAAGTTCCAACCCTTTAATGCAGATGGATATGGCCAGTTTCTGATAGATGGATGGCCGGCAGGTACAAGACAGCAACTTCGGGGGTGTGTGTGTGTGTGGACGCCTGCTACCTCAACCAAAGGCTGGCGGAAGAGCTCCGTCTTGCAGGCCCCGCAGATAAGCCTCCTGGATCCTAGTCCGACGCTTTAACTGCTACCCCGTGCCGGCTGTAATTGCATTATTTATTTATTTGTGTTTCGTATTTGTATCCCGTCTACCCCGCGAGGGGCCAGTGCAGAAAAGGCCCCGGCCCCGGTCAAGGCAAGACAGACATCTTTTGGGCCAGGGACCACCAGGAGGTGTTGATTACTAGAGTGTAAAGCTCTTTGAGGCGTCTACGGGAAGAGGCGGTCCCTTAGGTATGTTAGTCCCAGGCCATAGAAGGCTTTGAAGGTTATTACCAACACCTTGAAGCAGATCCAGTACTCGACTGACGACCAGTGCAGCTGGCAAAGAACAGGCCGAACATGAGCCCACAAGTGACGTGTGGTTGGTATCATCGCTGCTTTTGCATGCTGCATTCTGCTTCTAACAGTCAGGGGCTCTGGAGCCATGGGGTAAGGAGTGCCACAGAGAGACGGTGCGATGCGCTTGGAATCTGTGGTTGATTTTCAGTGGAGAAGGAGAAGCGGCAGAGATTCGTAGCAGCGAGGAACAGGAAGTTGGGGAGAGGTCTGTGTGAATGCTGTCTCCCGACTGGGTGGTGGTGGTTAGAGTGCACTGGGTTCAAATCCCCACTTGTCTCACTGGGTGCCTTGAGCTGTTCCCTCCCTCTAACCGGCCTCACAAAGTTAAGATAAAATGGGGGGGGGGCATATATGTCAGGGGCAGTGTTCCCTCTAAGCTAGGTGTGGACGCCCGCTGCCTCAACCAAAGGTTGGCGGAAGAGCTCCGTCTTGCAGGCCCCGCAGAACTGAGTAAGATCCCGCAGGGCCCTGATCTCGGTGGAGAGCATGTTCCACCAGGTGGAGGCCAGGACAGAGAAAGCCCTGGGCCTGGCTGAGGCAAGACGGACGTCTTTTGGGCCAGGGACCACCAGGAGGTGTTGATTACTAGAGCGTAAAGCTCTTTGAGGAGCTGCGGTGGCTCAAGTGGTTAAGACGCTGAACTGCAAGCTGTGGAAGGTCGGTAGTTCAGCAGTTCGAGACCTGAGTGTGCCGCATGATGGAGTGAGCTCCCGTCTCTAGTTCCAACGTGGTGATTGCTGAGATCTTTCCTGGCGCCTGGCAAGGGTTTTTCCAAAACCGGTGCCAGGCGGGGCTTTTCCCCAGCAGAGCTTCTGATTGGTCTTTGGAGATTTGATTGGCTGTGCAGGCTTTTTTTAAAAACTGCTTTGGCGGCGGCTGCCACCGCAGCACAAGGATCGTCACTGTGGGACTGGTGGTAAACCGGGTGCATACAAGAAAATGGTTTTGAACAATACGTTTATTTTAAAAGGGATCCTGTTAAACCTGAAACGTTGGGGAGTTACTCTTGGAGAGAGGCATGACCTCTCTTCCTAACGTTTTGTGGTTGGCTCTGCCTCTTACGGGAGCCGTTTTGTGGTCGCGCCCACCACCCTGTGTCTGAATTCCAAAGGTGCCCGCAGGCTGTGTTTCTGGCTGGGAGGGCAGGAGAGAACTGTAGCGAATTGCAGCCTTCCTCTAGCTTGCAAACTACCATCAAGTGATGTTGCCAGATTTCTCTCTGCAATCACAGGGACTAGGAACTTGCTTTTTTGTTTGGTGTAGTGGTTAAGGTGTGCAGACTCTGATCTGGGAGAACCGGGTTTGATTCCCCACTCGTCCACTCACAGCTGCTGGTGTGACCTTGGTCCAGTCACAAGTTCTCTCAGAGCTGTTGTCTCAAGAGCAGTTCTCGAAAGAGCTCTCTCAGCCCCACCTACCGCACAGGGTGTCTGTTTGGGGAGGGGGAGGGAAAGGAGTTTGTAAGCCGCTCTGAGACTCCTTCGGGTAGTGAAGGGTGGGGTATAAACCCAATCTCTTCCTCCTCCCCCTTCTTCCCTCCCTCCTCTTCCCTCCTTCCTCTTCCCTCTTCTTCCTGCACCTCCTCCTCCTCCTCCTCCTGTAAAGAAAGCTTCACATTTCAGGACTTCTCCCCCTCACCCAAAGCATCCGGGTTTCCATTCTATCAAGCTCCCTTGGGCAGGTGTCTGGAGGGGTGCCGGACACATTTTCCAAACCTTGATATTCCCTGGTCTCTTGTTTTGTGTCCTGTCCTCAGATTATGCCGTTGCCAAACCGGACCTGTTCCCCCAGATTGATCGTGGCGAGGACCCGGGGTGTGCCGGGGAAGGAGACAGTGACCCAGGGATTATCAGCCTGGGTAAGCTGGAGGGGTCGCCGTTTCCCAGGCAATGTGAGTGCCGCTTGGGTGGGGAGGGAGACGGAATCCCCATCCCGAGGGAGCCAAACGCACAAGCTGAGGGCTCGCTGCTTGACTGCGACTGTGTTGGGATTCGTTTCGGGAGGGCGGCCCTCTTTGTCTGCACTAGAACAATTAGATTTGAGTCCAGGAACACCTTGGCTCAAAGGATAAGCTTTTGAGGGTCAAAGCTCCCTTCAAGCTCTTACTGGTCTTCGAGGTGCAAGTCTGTGCGCTGGAAGTGTATCGAGAGCCAGTGGTTAGAAACCCACAAGGGGTGGACCCGCGATACCCGCGGGGGTGGGGGTGGGGGGGGAGGCAGAGCTCCAAACGGAGCTCCAAAGTCAGAAGGCGGAGGAGGAAGCAGCA